GCAGATGTTTTACCAGTTCTATGTGATTCCAGACCACCGGAAGTTCCTTCGATTCTTGTGGTGGGAAAAGGGAGACCCTGAAGCTGAACCAAAGGAGTTCCAGATGAATGTCCATCTGTTTGGTGCGGCATCATCCCCTGGGTGTGCGAACTTTGGTCTCAAACAAATTGCGAACAGCTATGAAGAAGAATGTGGTTCTGCAGCTGCAAACTTTGTGCGAAATGACTTCTATGTGGACGACGGTCTGAGATCTGTTTCCACCAGCGAAGAAGCCATTGAGTTGATAACGAAGACCAAGGATCTCTGTGGCAGAGGTGGTTTGCGATTGCATAAGTTTGTCTCCAATTCACGAGAAGTGATGGAAGCAGTTTCGCCACAGGATCGTGCCAAAGGAATCAAGGATCTTGACTTGCGTCACGACTCTCTCCCCATCGAGCGAGCACTTGGCGTCCATTGGTGTATCGAGTCGGACACATTCCAGTTTCGAATCATTCTGAAGGACCAACCACTCACAAGACGAGGAATCCTTTCCACGATCAGTTCGGTATATGATCCTCTTGGATTTGTGAGTCCTGTTCTGTTGGTTGGTAAGCAGATATTACAGGAGCTGTGCAGAGATCAGGCAGAGTGGGATGATCAACTTCCTGAATCCTTACGGCCAGCTTGGGAACGGTGGAGGAGCGATTTGGCTCTTTTAGAGAACTTCAAGATGCGACGATGCTTTCTTCCGGAGAATTTTGGTCGTGTTGAATCAGTAGAGATTCATCATTTCTCTGATGCAAGTACCACTGGCTATGCCCAATGTTCATACCTGAGACTCACCGATGACCAGCGAAGAGTGCACTGCAGCCTCATCATGGGGAAATGCAGAGTCTGTCCTCTGAAGCCTGTTTCTGTGCCACGCCTTGAGCTAACAGCTGCGGTGGTGTCAGTCCGTGTCAGTGCTCTGTTACAGAAGGAGCTCGAGTATGAGAATGTCTATGAGGTCTTCTGGACCGACAGTAGGGTAGTGTTGGGCTACATTGCCAATGATGCACGGAGATTCCATGTTTTTGTTGCGAATCGGGTGCAGCGTATCAGAGACCACACCAAGCCTTCCCAGTGGCGACATGTTGCTACAGATGTTAATCCGGCAGATGACGGATCAAGGGGTCTTGGAGTTGAGGAATTGATGAACAAATCAAGGTGGCTTGTTGGACCTAACTTTCTATGGGAAGAGCAGGTTCCTATCACAATCGAAGCCAGCAGTCCAACCATTTCTCCAGAGGATCCGGAGGTGAAGAAGGTCAAGAGCCTTGCTACACAGACTGCGAAGCAGACATTCGAGCTTGAACGTCTTGAGCGCTTCTCTGAATGGCATCAAGCCAAGAGAGCTATAGCGACTTGTCTGAAGTTCAAGTCTCTCCTGATGAAGCGTTCCATAAAGAAACCACAGCCAAATTCGATCCAGGCTCTACGAAAAGATGCGATTCCTCTCTACAAACCTGTGATGGTAGAGGACATGTGCCAAGCTGAACTAGAAATCCTGAGACTGGTGCAGAAAGAAGCCTTTGCAGAGGAAATCAAAATCCTGGAATCTCTCAAGGTCAACAGCGACAACCCTAGCAGATCCAAGGTTCGAGAGCGTAACAAAGTCATGAAGACTAAGAGTTGTCTCTACAAATTGGACCCATTTCTGGATGCTGACAACATTCTGCGAGTTGGAGGCCGCATTAGAAGGGCTGGGTTTCCTTCTAACTTCAAACACCCAGCTGTCTTGCCCAGAAAGCACCACATCACCGAATTGATCATTCGACATTGCCATCAGCAAACCCAACATCAGGGTCGGGGCATGACCGTGAATCAAATCCGAATGAATGGCTTTTGGATTATTGGCTGTAGCTCGGCTGTTTCCTACTACATATCCAAATGCGTACGATGCAGGAAGCTCTTCGGCCAAGTTCAAGAGCAGAAGATGGCGGACTTGCCGGAGGACCGTCTCGAACCGGCACCACCATTTACCAACTGTGGCGTGGACTTCTTTGGTCCTTGGTACATCAAAGAAGGAAGAAAGGAATTAAAGAGATACGGAGTTCTCTTCACGTGCATGGCAACACGTGCCATTCACATCGAAACAGCTGCAAGTCTCAGCTCAGACTCCTTCATCAACGCTGTACGGAGATTCATTTCCATTCGTGGGCCCATACGACAGCTGAGATCTGATAGAGGCACGAACTTCATTGGGGCAGAGTCCGAGCTCAAAGAAGCTGTCGCTGAAATGGACCATAGCTCTGTGAGGCAGTTTCTCCTGAAGGAGGGATGCGATTACAGCCACTATGAAGTCAAGATGAATGCTCCATCAGCCAGCCATACAGGAGGAGCATGGGAACGACAAATACGTTCGGTGCGTAGAGTTCTGGGGCCACTGATGCATCAGGCAGGCTCTCAGCTTGATGACGAGTCTTTGAGAACACTGATGTGTGAAGCAGCTGCAATTGTTAACAGTAGACCTCTTACAGTGGACAACTTGAATGACCCAACTTCACTTGCGCCACTTACCCCAAATCACCTGTTGACGATGAAATCCACTATCATTTTGCCACCGCCTGGAAGGTTCCAGCGTACTGACATATACTCCCGCAAACGATGGCGTCGAGTTCAATACTTAACGAATGAGTTTTGGTCACGATGGAGGAAGGAGTTTATTCAAAACCTCCAACTGCGTCAAAAGTGGATACGACCACAGGATGACCTTCACATTGGGGACATTGTCATCATCAAAGACGAGAATCTTCCTCGCAATCAATGGTTGCTTGCTCGGATTGCTCAGGTGTTCCCAGGCGAGGACAATCATGTAAGGAGGGTCAAACTCGCTATTGGTGACCCCCACTTGGACGACAAGGGAAAGCGAGTCCATTCTGAGAAGTTCCTGGAGCGTCCCATTCAGAAGCTAGTCTTACTTGTGGAGGACTTGGAGACCAGGAGAATCCCCGACGAGGAGCCCTGAGAAGCTTCAACATACATGTTGTGTTTAGTAGTTGTATGCTTAGATAACCTGTTAGTTTATTGTTGTTTAAAGTACTTGAGTTTAGAAATTTGATAGTTTATCTTGTTCAAAGGTAAATGATTACCAGTGAGATGCTTCAAAGATGATTTATTGTATGTTTGTACAATGTACTCAGACAACTTAAAGGAGCAGTTACCATGTAATTTTTGCATTTTAGTCTAATCAGTGCATGTTCACAATGTTGATCAAGACGAGTCTAGATTACTATAACTTCTGATTGTAAATTAGTTACACTAATTTGGGGAGCCATGTTAATGTATTCACAAGTTTGCATTTGTGTATAGCGCCCTCTCTCAGATGACTTTGGAGAACACAACTGAGCCACGAACAAACACACGTTAGCACATGTAAAATCCCTTCATGTCAGACATCTTTGGACGATATTTTCTGAGAATCGCTTGAGGTTTTGTCTCTTTTGAGACCCAACAAACTCAAATAAGAGGGAAAGGATGCAAGGAGGTAATTTAGAGACTTGTAATTCTTGAGAAAGAAGTGTAAACCATATATTTGATTCATTTTATAGATAATTCTGCGATCAGTTTTGACATTCTGTAGCTCAAAATTGAGTGTGATTTTCGTATATGTTTAACCATTGAATTTAGGAATTTGGATTAAGTGATGATTTATGTACGATGCTTTTATAATTCATGTAATACTCTGTGAACTTAAGGACATTTACTTTGTTTATATATTCACAGTTTTCACGAAGCCACTGCGGATTATTTCACAAGCCACTGCGAACCATTTCATGGAAGACTTGCGAGTTGCGAATCATTTTCATGGAATAAATGCGAGATGTTATAATCAACGGCTTCTGTAGAGACCCTTGTTTACTCCTTAGTTACCGACCTGTGACCTAGATGTGACCTGTGACCTAGATGTGACCTGTGACCCCCTGCGAAACCCCTAGTAGTAGCACTACGAACACCTAAAAGACTGCACCTCGAAATTGATTTAGTGCTGCCGCTACAAGCACTTTTCCAAACCAAACCACAAAATGAACATAACAGAGGGGGAACACTTGAGCAAGAATTTGTTCATTATGTGGTTACGTTGTTTTTAAAACCCTTCTGATCAATTCGTTGATCCAAAAATCTAAAAGGGAGCAGGGAACATCCCATTCCTCCTCATTCCCCATCCAAAAATTCGTGTTTTCAACGATTACTGTTTTTAAGCAGCCTCCAAAAAGCCAACCCTAGCCCTATAGTACCCTACATGGCCTTTCACTCAGTGAGTGTTCCTTTTTTTTTGAAGTCAATACCCGACTCAATGAAAATGTTTAATTTTTATTATTTGAATGAATTTCTCTTTTAATTTTGGCTTAAAAGTTGTAAAAATACTTACTGTATCTAAATGTACACACATTTTAAAGATTTATATGAGTTATTTAAGAAAAATATTGTTTTTCTATGATGCATTTGTACAACTAACTTTGATAAAAAATGATGGTTATTATGTGGTTTCCCAAAATGAAATTGATTCTAAAATCTTTATTGTAGGTTCTTTTTATTGGTTATTGTAGGAACTATTACAAATTGACATTTTTTATAATTTCCTGAAAACTGGTGGCTGACAGCGTTTTCCTTATTTTTTTAGGAACTTAATTATTTCTAAAACGGCTCATTATGTGGTTGAGCATGATTGTTTTTGTTACACCAGCAGGGTGTTTCATAAAGCTTTACAATTAATCTTATCTCCAAATTATCAATCTTATCTCCGAAACAATTAATCTTAAATGCCTAAATTTACAATTAATCTTTTCTCCGTTTCATAAAGAAAGTTAAGATTAATACCGAACTTAATTTCATCCCGGATCAATCTTAGTTTTACACTTGATCCTGGATCAATTGTAGAAACAAAGTAATCAATCTTAAGTGTCATGTGACAATTTATTTGGCGGGAAAAATAAACACTTAGTTCAGAATATTGTGTCTGTGTCACTTCATTGCTCTCAAATCATGGCTCTCCAGTTGCTTTTGATGGAGAATCGGCGCGCTTTGCGAAGAGAGCGAGTGTTCAGGGATAGAAAGAACCCGCTAGATGAGTATAATGATGTAGAGATGTACAAGAAATATCGATTTACTCGATTTGGCTGTCTGCACGTCATCAACAGAATTGAGGCAGAGCTGCATCATCCGACCCAACGAAACCACGCACTACCAGCAAGCCTTCAGGTGTTCATAGCCCTGCGATTTTATGCCACAGGTTCATTGTATGATTATGCAGGTGAGATGCAAGGCTGTAGTATTGCTACCTGTTCGCGAGTTGTGAGAAGAGTGACCCCTGTGTTATGCCGTCTTCGTAATGAGCTAATTCAGTTTCCGACAACACCGGTAGCTGTGCGAGAGATGCAGAGGGATTTGTTTGGCTTGTCAGGCTTCCCCGAACTTGTAGGTGTGGTTGATGGAACTCACATTGGTCTGCATGGATGCAATCTTGGGAACAATGAACACATATATGTAAATAGGAAGGGCAGACACACCATCAATGTACAGGTTGTTTGTGATGCCCATTTCAAGATCACCAATGTTGTGGCGAGGTGGCCTGGCAGTACCCACGACAGCCGTATCTTCCAGGCAAGCCGTATTGGACAGCTGTTCCAACGGCAAGAGCTACAGGGTATTCTGCTGGGGGATTCTGGCTACGCGCTTCAGCCCTGGCTAATGACACCATTACTCAATCCAGCCACAGATGCAGAGAGAGCCTATTACAGGTAAATTCGAAAAATCAAACAACCAATGCCTTAGGACTGGCTGTAGAGATTTAACATGCAGCAGCTTTATATAATTGATAAACAATTGCGGAATCCCAAAATAAGACTTCACATTCATGTTTAACTTGCCAGCAATGCAGTGCTTTATTTACTAGCTAGGGCAGCAGCATTGCTAGTCCCGCCCCCACCACGTTCAGACTTTTTTGGTCGGCAAATTTGTGTATCTGTTGCCGAGTGACTTTTCGACTACTGCGTCTCCTGAAATAAATACACATTTTTTTCACAAAAACTGTTGGCAAATTGATATCATATGCCCTCATCCAAATTGAATTTGGTCTAGCGACGCCCCTGTTCGAGGGGCATGACATGCCGCAAATCTTGTGTGCTACCGGTTAATTACGTCATAAATAATCGTGGTTTGATTGTATCTTCATTTGCATTTTATACAGAGCTCATGCCCACACCAGAGTCGTGATTGAGCAAGTTAATGGACAGCTCAAGAATAAGTTCCGATGTCTGCTGGGTCATGGCATGCAGATTGTTCCAGAGAGGGCATGTGACATCATCATCGCCTGCTGCGTGCTTTTCAACATCAGCAAGTTGTTGAAGGAACCTCATCTGGATCCTGAAAACGACCAAGAGGACGAGGAAGACGACAATGAAGATGTGGAAGAGGATGAGGTAGTTGCAGGTGTAACTGGGGCATCAGTGAGGGCAAGAATAATCACCAATTGTTTTGGTTAACGGTTTATATACTTGTGATTAGACTGACCTGCCAACACAGATAAGAAAACAAGCTTTTCTAATCAAGACATTTTGTTTTCCAACAGGCAATAAATTAATTTATTAAGCCATAAAGACTGAGGGTTGAGTATGCCAAGCCAATGGCCAACATACAGCCACTCAGTCCAAGTGAGACGAATACATCTGTGTATGAATAAGTTCATTTCTTTTAAAGTTTTAAATAGGAATGGTTAAACTGTCGGAGGTATTTATGAATAATTATTTAAATTGTAGATTTTTGTAAACAAGGAATACTTGTCTCTAGGCACATTTTTTTTTTTTGTATTTACAACTGATAAATTCTTGTTTAGTTAAAACAATCGAACAGCATTTGAAGTTGAATGAAATTAATTAAATGCTGATCGCGACAGCGATTGAAGACATATTAAATATAATAACTTTTTTTTGTCGTACATAAAGACTGAGTGTTGAGCATGCCAAGCCAGTGGTCCATTCAAAGCCACCTAAGTCCAAGTTTCTATATATGTGATATGAATACATACGATAAATACATTTCTTTTCAAATTTTATTTATGAGTTTATCATAACAGAAATACACCAAAACTAACAACAACTGTGAACTTGAGAAAAAGTCGCCGAACTTTAGGAACTACATCATATTTGATGATAACTTGAAAATTTGGAATATTAATACAAAATAAGCCATGTGTTCATGATAACTGACTGGAGATCGAAGTGTGTATCTTCACTTAATATGAAGAAAATATCATTAATTATAACGAGTCACTGAGTGTAAACTTTCAAAATGGGCAAGAGTAATGATTGTTTTGCTAACTTTTCCCATTTGCAAACAGGTAAACACAACCTCCAACATGTACATGTTAACAGGGGAAACTTATGCACATTTTTTGGTTGTAATTACAACAGATAAGAGCTTGTTAAAGTAAAAACAGCATTTGAATGTTACTGCATGGAATTAAATAAGGCTGATGTGGACAAGGATTGCAGACACACCAAGATAGCCCTCTGAACATCTAGATTTTGCCTCATCATGTCCACCTTTTCTCTCTCAACTCTCAAGAGCTCCTCTTCTACTTCAAAACCTTTTATTCTTGCGACCCTGGGAGCCATTTGCTGCTGTTGTTTGCGACTGCATTTGGTGCTGCTGTTATTGCTGCAGGGGTTCAAGTTGGTGTTTCTGGCACTGTTGCTGCTACTGCCAATGTTGTTGCTGTTGTTATCATTGGCCATGCGGTCGCTTTGAGTGACGCTGTCGCAGTGCTGTGGCTCTTGTATGATGCTGAAGTTGTTGGACTCTTGCGACGACCCCTCCTCTTGTGATTGGGAATCCTGCACAAAATAAGGAAATACACATGATTTTATTCTATGATGATCCGAAAGGTCAGACCGAATCTTCAGATGTTTAAAATGATCATTAATAAATGAATCTGAAATTCTCTCAAAGAGAACATGGCACGTAAAAGACAGGGGGGAAAAAGCAAAAAGTTGACCAAGTAAACTTTAAAGTTCAGCGGGAAGAGCTTCAATTTGACCTTTCTCTTAATATCTGTTAAGTACACATACAAAATAATGAGCAAGTGGTCCAGTCAAATTAAAATATATATAACTCCACATTCACAATTATATTTAACACGCTAATATTTAACCCGCTACTGTTACCTTTCCATTAGAATTGTTGCATTTTTCAGTAAATATGACAAATATTGGCATATTGGCTGAAAGTCAATTAATAAGCCCCTTTTCTGATCCAAATAAGAGTTTACCAGTTTTTCACATAATCCTACCTCCTGGATGTTTTCATCTGGTAAGGGATCAGTTTCTGAGCCCTGCCCAATGATCCCAAACTTAGACTGGGGGGACAAAGCATCTAAGACCCCTTCAAGGCCATCATTTGTAGGCGGTATTGGTCCTCCTCCTGAAACAAATTTATAATCAATCACTCATTCATTCAAAGAGTTAACTTTTGCCTCTGTATTTACCATGGCAAGAGAAAACGAAGGTTTAAAACATAACGGAAAAATTTGGTGACACAAATCATATTCCTGTTTTATAAGGTGATTATGTATAGAACAAAAATATCAGGCAAATCAGTATTGATACAAAAGAGAAGTTACACAATTTTGATGCAACTCAAGCTCGTAACGAATGTATTGTTTCTCTGATGAAATCATGATATAATATATTCAAACGTTATTATTCCTTTAAAAGTAAAAAGAATTAACAACTGGCATTCAAATGAAAGAAAGTCAACAATTTTAATTTAGGCACAAACCACACAAGGAGTGGATTGACCTCATGAATGAAAGGCTTAAGTTGAAAACCCCGTCATGCCCCCCCCCCCATCCCAAAGAAAATCCTTGAGTTAGGCCCCCCCCCCCCAAAAAAAAAAATAGTCGGTCTCTGGTCAGACCAAAGTTCAGGAATTGTTGCGTTCTTTTTTTCGTTCTATTTTGTTTGCTCACGAGTCACACCACATGTCATCGCGTTGCTTGTGTAGTTGACTAGCTGTCATTGTAATTGATCAGCTGACAACCTCGTAACCATGGTCTACTATTTTGTCCAACATCAACTGCGTCTGGATCTATCACATTAGGTACGATGTCGAGGTGCCAACGAGGTGGTGCGGCAATAGAGGGCGCTGTTGTAGCTAATACAGGACATTTTGAAAAAAATATGGGTCGACACACATGTTCAAAATCAATGCGTGCTGACCATAGACCGACTTTTTTTTTATTTTTGGCCTTACCTGTCGCACTCCTCTTTGCATTGTACTTGTGCGCTTGTACTTTCAGCTCGTTCCATTTTTTTCGGATGTCCTTCTAGTCCCTTACCTGGGGACCCCCTGCTGCCCTTAGGGCAGCAGAAGCCTTCTTCCAACAGGAAGTCTTTCGGGCCTCCACCTTTTATTCAAATCAAAGTACAAATAACTATATTTAGAAACTGCCCTGAAAATGAATGCAACAGTATTTGGGAATATATACAGTCGAACCTCGTCAATAAGAGGTCGTTGGGACTTTGCAGTTTACCTTGTTATAACAGGAACCTTGTATTATCAGGAATGAAAACAATGAAAAACAAGGGATTGGGACCTAACATTTTCCTTGTTAATAAGCAGAATGTTGTATTAACAGTGCTCTTATTATCGAGGTTCTACTGTACTCCCCCTGACAATCAACATCCTCCCGAATGACCCCAATTTTCAGGGTTTTTCTGGGGAGGTGGGTAGGGAGCTGGGACAGACAGCAAAGGTTGTTTCTGATGCATACATGTACTACGCATTCCCGTATTTAGTGGAGCTGCTAAGCGAAAAATCGTGCACTTTGTGGTAAAAGCATGAAATTTGGCATGTGGGGTCAAAATGGGCTGGGAATCATTTTAAGATCGGGAGCCATCCTGGATCTTGCCCATTTTGGGGGCAGGGCTTGTTTTTTTGAAAAAGGGGGTGCAAAAAATTAAAACTCACACAAAGTGTATTTAACATCCATTTCCCTTGTTTTTCTATGGTTTGACATAAGCTTAAACATAAAATAAGACATTCTAGCATTTTAACACCTGTTATTTTAGCACCCATTTTGTGGGCGTGGCCTACATTTTAAAAGAGGTGGTATATATTAGCAATTTGGTTTCAATATGAGAAATACCATTCAGTTTGGTGGTAAAATCTTGAAAATTGGCATGTCTAGTGGAAATGGGCTGAAAAAAAATTTTAAGAGGTGGACCCATTTTGGATTTTGCCCATTTTGGGGGCGGAGCTTGATTTTTTTAAAAGGGGAGTGCAAATAACGAAAATCACGAAAACTGTATTTAATGTCAATTTCCCTTTGTTCTTTATGCTTTGAAATATACTTAGACATGAGAACAAACATTCCAACATTAAAACACTTTTTATTTTCATCCTTTTTGTGGGCGTGGCCTATATATGTAAAGGAGTCTTATATTTGCCAAAGAAGGGTATAAAATTGGGACTTTCTGATTCATTTGAGGCATGCGCAAAATTTGCATTTTTGTGATACAAACACAAAACTGCAACATAAATTGTAAACGCAATTGTAAAAAGAGCGACCTACCCTTACAGGTGGAGCTAAGTGGGGTTGAATATTTGTACATGTTCTTTACTGAATGTAGCTAAAATCTAGAGTCCTCAAAAATGTTTCATACCTAGGGCTACCGGTATGTGTACAAATAAAGGTATTACATCTCTGTGAGAGACGTGGTTTATTTTTAAATGTTATAGGCTAAGGTTCAGCCTACGTTTGGTGAGTATCATTTGAAGAAAATGATTTAAGTAATGTCACAGAGACAAGGTACCCACCCCCCCCCCTGAATTTTGTTTATTTTTACTACTCCTCACAAGCCCCCTGAGCAGGCACTCAACTTTTGCTGCGTATAATTTGAAGAAAAGGATTTCAGTAATATCACAGAGACAAGTTACCTCACCCAGCATTTTGCCTATTCTTCCTTCTCCTGATGACAGTCCCCCGAGCAGGCACACAACAAAGTACACCTCAGTCCGGCTTTCCCACACTTGCAGCGTCCTCTACATGGCTTCTTGCAGCTGCAGTGCAATAGTTCAGAGCAGATCTTTGATGCTTCTGGCAGAGTGGTCCAGAATGGTTGCCACATTCCAGACACTTCAGTCCATCCCCAGTCAGAAGGACTCGGCAGCTGTGGGTTGGGATGCAGGCACAAATTCCAACAGTTACTTTGGAGACAGGTGCGTTTTATGTGCTGCTCAAGTGAAGCAAATGTCGGTGGGATGTTCTCTAGTGATCGAGACTTTTTGGCAAATAGATGTTTTCTGCAAGCATTGACATCATCCTCTTCACTCGTTTTACAATACAGGAGTACCACAAAGCGTTGCACCAACCTAAGTGATTTGTGGCTTAGGGTATCAGGCATGCCTAACATCTCCTCAAATGCCTCTGTGACCTCTGGGTAGACATTCCAAATATCCCATGCTGTCTTCTTCCCTATTCCTGTAAA